GGGCGATTACAGAGGGGTTGGGGCGGGGAAGAGGCGCACTCTTCGGCTCAGTCCCAGTCCCCATCGCCTTCGGGATTGTCGTCTCGGGGGGGTTCCTGAAACTGGATGTTCGCCAGCATGTCCCGCATGGCTGCCATGAGCCTGTTCACCCCCTGGTTAAGGTCCTGCCCTGCCGCAGCCTCTTCGTCCCCATCGTGCCTGATGTCCCCCTGCAAGAGAGCAGAGCTGGAGGGGCCGGGCAGGGAGCTGCCTGCCCGTCGGCAGCAGGCAGGGAGAGAGACAACGCCGCTTGCCAAGAAGCATCAGGCTGCTCTGCAACCTGACGTTTACACACTGCGTACGCCAGGAGCCACTCCCTTTGCAGAAACACCGTGCGGTGGAAACTTCTGCGTACCGACAGCAGAAGCGTGCTCTGATCTGCCCGCGGCGGCTGTCTGCGCCTACCTGCAAGTTAAAATTTGGCAGCAGCGAGCGGAAGAAGAGAGATAAAGTGCTTTCGTTGGATGGATGATTCGTTCTGAAAGACAGAAGTCACACCAGGGTTAAGGGGGCAGCTTGGCGCTCAACCTCTCGCTGGGGCCGAGACAGCCCAGAGATGCCGGAGAGAACCACGCTGTCCGGACCAAGACACGGCCCCTCCCGAGCCAGCCCCGCCGCCGCCGGGTATCGGGGAAACTCTCAGGGGTTTCTTACCGCGGGCAGCCAGCAGCTCGCCAGCCTCTGGGCAAAGCGGTCATTAAAAGCACTGCCAGGTTCGGGCTGAGCTGGGTCAGTGCGTTAGACACGTTATGGGCTTCACCTGGGGGCTCTGCGCCCACCACGGCCGGCTGCGCTTAAACCTGCGTTTACCCCAAACCACCTCAAGTCAAGGAAGAGCCCAAATTTTTCAGAGGCCTTTGCCTTCACGGCTGCGAACAGCCACCATCCCCACCAGCGACCGCCAAGGAAAAGCGGCAGGACCAGTCCTGCCCGTACGCTCAGCGCCACAGGCCAGGCTGCTCTTCCTCCGAGGTGGAGGAGGAGGAGGAGGAGGAGGTCAGCTCCGAGCGCCCACGCGCAGCCAGGCTCGGGGCCGAGGGTGCTCCGGGAAGACGCCGGCCGTGCCAGCGCAGAAACGAGGGGCGGAGAAGGTACCTTTCTGGTCTGGTGTAGGAAACGATGGAGTCCAAAGGAGGTAAGGGGTCGAACCCCATCACAGGCTGCGAGGTCACCTCCTGCGGGGCGGGGAGGGAGAAGAAGGAAAGGGTGAAGGCTGCGTCGCCAGCAGCAGCAAACACCGAGGCACGGAGATGGTCAGACCAGCTGGACAGCCCTCCGTCTCGGGGAACGGGGACAGAGCCGAGCACCAGCTGCAGCCCGGCCTGCCCGCACGTGCCCCCGTGTGCCACCCCGGGAAGCCGTGCATACAGGGAGGGCGCTTGGAGGTCAGGCAGATGTTTCGTGCTGGTGGCTGGGGTTTAAGACGTCCCCAGCGTCCGCAGCAGGGACGCGCGTGCCATCACGCCGCGCGCAGCGGCACTGCCTGCGCCCCGCAAGGGCCCCTCACCAGAGGCAGAGCTGCCGTGGCCTCCTTCATCTCCGAGAGGATGACGTGCCGGTAGATATTCCTGGGCGCGCTCTGGTACCGCATCTTCCTCCTAGAGCGGGGAGGGGGACAGAGGATTGCACCGAGCACGCCTCAGCATGGCCAGCTTTCCATTTCTGCTTCTCTAGGTGCATCGTCAGCTTCATCCCTGTCCCCGGGGGGGGACGCGCCGTATCGGACGGAGCTGGCTTAAGGCGAAGCCAAAGTCACTTGGCAGCTGCTGACCCCAGGTGAAAGAGCGGAGCAGCTCAGGGACGCCGCACAGATCTCTCTCTCCAGCCCCGTTCCTCTGCAGGTCAGCAAGAGTGAACTAACTTTGGCTTGGGACAAGACCTAACGCCCCTCTCTCCTGCTTCTCAGGGCTGGGAGGCGTTTCTAAGCACTCACCTGCCCTGGGCAGCGAATGCCCGTGAGCCGTGCAGCCACCCCTGCCCCTCCCAGCCAGCAGCAACCCCTCCGCGGGGCCCCCGGGGCCCACACGACGGCGGAGGGTGGGGGAAGCCAGCGCAGCGCACGCGCTCCCCGCGCTCTTCACGCTCGTGCGAAGCGGGGAAGAGCAGCCTCCGCCTTCCTGGCCCCACGGGGTCCCCAGATGGGCGGTCGTGGGGGTCTCAGCAAGCCCCAGCGCCGCTGCGGCCCAGGATGGAGCTCCTCTCTCATCTGCAGAGCC